CCTGCATCAAGTTTTCCCTCTGATTCACTTGTCCCCTCATCCTCCACCAGCTACAGCTATATTTCTCACCCTCCCTTTACAGCAAAACTAGAAAGCACCGTCTATACTCCTATCTTAAAATCACTCTCTTCAAGGTCTTTATTAAATCCTGTGGTTATTTCTTAGTTGTCATCTTGCTTGGTCTGCCAGCAGCATCTGACGTGGTTGCTGATTTTTCTTCTGGAAACACCTTCTCGCTAGGCTTCCAGGGTACCACATTTACTTGATTTTCTTCCTCCTCTTCTCATTTCTTTTGCTGATTCTGCCTCATCTTGTATCCTCTTAGTAAATGTTCAAGTGCACAGGGCTCAGTTCTTGGGTCTCTTTTCTTTCTACACTTATTCCCAGATTTTCATGGCCAATGGCCCCCTCTAAATTATTTGCAACCTGAAGGCCATACGCCAACTGCATACTTGAAATTTCCATTTGGATATTTAATGGGCATTTAAAACTTATTTAATAAGCATATGCAAAGTTAAGTTCCCCCTCACTCAAAACTAGTTCTCTCTGCAATCACCCACATCAGTTGATGGCAAGTCCATTCTGGAAATTCAAGTCAAAAATCTTGGTGTCAACTTGGACTTGTCTTTCTGTCATATGCTATAGCTCTACCTTCAAAATAAATATGATATTTACAATAGAATATCACTTAGCAATATAAATGGAACTACTAAAATATGCAATATCATGGATGAATCTTAAAAACATGCTGAGTTAAAATAGAGCCAGAAAAAGTAAAGTAAAACTATATGATTCCATTTATGTGAAATTCTCCAAATGAACAATCTCTTGTGTGTGGGGATGTGGGGGCAGATACTGATTTTTGAACTGAGGGCCTACACGTGCTCTACCACCTGAACCATGCTCCCAGTTCATTTTATTTTAGGTAAATTTTTAGATAGGGTCTTACATTTTTTTTGCTGGGCCCAGCCTATCTATAACCTATATTTGGCCTCCCATGTAGCTGGGACCACAGGCATGCACCAACATTCTGGCTTATTGGTTGAGATGGGGTCTTGCTAACTTTTTGCCAGGGCTGGCCTCAAACCACATTTCTTCCAATCTCTGCTTCCCACATAGCTATGATTAAAGATGTGAGCCACCACACCTGGCCTACAATCTCAGAAAGTATATTAGTGACCTAGGCATGGTGGCACACACCTGCAATTCTAACTATTCAGAAGGCAGACAGTCAGGAGGATTGCAGTCTGAGGCTGGCATGAGCAGAATTTTGAGACCTTATATGAAAAACAAACTAAAAGCAAATGTACTGAGGGTCAAGTGGTAGAACACCTGCCTAGCAAGGAAGAGACCCTGAGTTCAAAGCCCAGTATCACCAGGGGGGAAAAAAAAACCCACAAAAGCAGATAATCAGTGGTTGCCTGGGACTAGGAGTTGGGAATGGCAGTTGAGTGAAAGGGGTATAGAGGAATCTCTGAAATGATGGAAATGTTCTATATCTTGATCACAGTGACAAAGTAAATCTGTCAAAACTCATTGAACAATATGATAAGCACATTTTATTTTATGGTAATTATGCCTCACTAAAGTTGATAAAACACACAATTTGACCCCATTTCATTATACCTCCCTACTTGCACTGCCACCATGTAGGAAACATAACTATTCTCTTCTGGCTTACAAGAGCCTCCTAAATAGTTCCCCTTCTGTCCTTATTCCTCTGCATTTTATTCTCAACAAATTAGTAACAATGATTCTATTAAAACATGAATCATATTGTGTCATTCCTCCGCTTAAAACCCTGTAAATGGCCATTCCTCTCAATGAAATTCAGTGTCCTTATAAAGACCTAACATGATTGGGCTCCCTGTTACCTCTTTATTTCCTACTACTCTTCTCCATTGTCATATGCACTCCTACCACAGCTGGCCTCCTTGCTATTCTTCAAGTGTGGCAGGAACACTCTTCTGTACTTATTATTACATCTGCCTGGAATGATGTGCCTGCTCTCCCCCCACTTCCCAACATAAGCCATGTATTTTGTTCCCTCACTTTCTTTAGCTCTTTCACCAAAAGACACTATCTTAGTGAGCCTTTCCCTGGCCATCCTATCTAAACTTTCAAAACCCCCTATACACACACACACACACACACACACACACACACACACACACACACTTTTCCACTTCATTTTCTCCTTTTCTGCTTTATTTTTTTCTTCTCCCCAAGTCTTATCACTCTCTTATGTACTTTTCTAATACATCTCATTTATTGGCTTTTTCCTCTACCAGAATGAATGAATGACCCAAGAAGGTAAGGAATTTTAACTGTTTTGAAGACTACTGTGTCCCCAAAATAATGTCTAAACTAGATGTTGAATGCATAATGAATGAGTCTGAACAAACTCTAGCTTTCTCTTTAACAGTTGACAGTAGAATTTGCTTTACAGATGTTTCAATTGTTTTCAAGAGTTCTGGCATAAGCTGAGCACCAGTAGCTCACACCTGTAATCCTATCTACTTGAGAGGCTGAGAAGAGGAGGACTACAGTTTGAAGTCAGCTGGGGCAAATAGTTTGTGAGACCACATCTCCAAAATAACCAGAGCAAACTGGACTGGAGGTGCAGCTCAAGCAGTAGAGTGCCTGCTTTGCAAGTATAAAGCTCTGAGTTCTAACCCTAGTTGGCAAGAAAGAGGGAAAGGGAGGGGGAGAGAGAGAGGGAGAGAGAGAAAGAGCTAAAGAAAGAAAGAGAGAGAGAGAAAGAGAGGGGAGGGAGGGAGAGAGAAAGGGGGAGGGAGGGGGAGACAGAGGGAAGGGAGGGAGGGAGGGAGGGAGGGAGGGAGGGAAGGAAGGAAGGAAGGAAGGAAGGAAGGAAGGAAGGAAGGAAGGAAGGAAGGAAGGAAGGAAAGGAGAGTTCTGGCATAATAAATAAAAACTGGGTTAGGATGTAGGTCAGTGACAGAACTCTGCCTAGCATGTACAGAGTCCTGAGTTTTATCCTAAGCTCCACAAAAAGATAAATACTGCAGCACATTTGAACATGTTATGTTAAAGTATATCAACCAAAAACTGCTTTCAATTCTCAAGAATTTAAGGTCTATCAGACACTGAGAACTTTTTAAAATCAAATTTGCAGAGATTTTCTGAGCAAGGATCTATAAATGTGAAATAACTCTCATAATTGCCAAAAAATAAATATAATCTTACCAGGTTCTTTGTGAAAGCTAGATCTCATGATGCCTAAGACTTCCATAACTGCTATAGTAGAAAACAATCAGTCTCAGAACTAAGAATTCATTTTAAAAATGCACATAACTCTTATTTATCCTTATAATTTAAATAACTCATTAGAGAATGTCTTCTTTGATAAACAAGTCAAATATACAAATGTTAAAGGGGGAATCAGCTTAACAGAAATAATATTAAAAAAAAACAAGAAGATAGCGGTGCCTTTGCTCTACAGAACCAGTCTCTTCTCCTTTAAATACACAATAACATAGCTTCTGGAAGTCCAAAGGAGGTGCCACCTTAGTAACTGCAGAGCAGAGAATTCTGTACTGCAGCCTTACTTGCATCAAGCAGCTCTTACTTGAAATGCATTAAAGTATACAACTTCATTCAAATAAAGAGTTCCAGCATTCAGGAATTATCTGCTTTGCTTTTTAAGTAGGATTATATATTTAACCTGAAAATAAGAACTCTGGGTTTTTATAATAAGATTAAAAATGTTTTATGAAGTTAAATATAATGGACAATTTCAGGAAAGCATCATTATTTAAGCAGTTCTGAATAAATAATATTACCAAACTCAATAAGGATAAGCAGGAAAAAGCATTAGAAATAGCACTACTAAATACACTTATCATATATAAGCTGCATCTTTCACTTCTATGAATCGATTTCTTAAATAGAACAATGAAGGAAGATATCTGTAATATACTTTCCTAGCACAGGACAATAGCTGCCTGAACACCCTCCTATAGCATACCTGATCACTATTAAAACTTCATGAACAAAACATTTTTAAGCTACATATTTATTTAATATTTATTTATCTTGGTGTACCTAGCATCTATAATAGTGCATTATCACTTGCAGTTCAGAGAAAGTGCTACCATCTTCAAATATTCTCATTTCTAAGTTTTTAGACTCCTTTAAGCATAAAAAGAGATTATTCTAGACAGGCAAAATAACTAAAAATACTAACTACCAAAACTATTAGGCACTCCTAACAGATGAGAAGTACATTAGGACAAGATCACTAAAATTGACTTTTATTTGCTGATTTAGCGCTTTCAAAGCAAGCTGAAATGAGAATGATTATATAGTACCTTACCCTTTCTACCGGTGAACCATAGCATGCAATGCCGAAACATAGCAGTGGCAGATGGCATTGGTGTTGTTAACTATAAAAAGGATAATAGCAGAGAAATGATGGCTGGCAGACAAGACACGGAAATGCAGATGAAATGAATGCAAACCTGTAGTTCTTGAAGCACAACAAAACCTTTAAGGAAAAGGTTTCCTTAAAAAGGTTAAAAAGGTTAAATTGAAGCTAGTGGTAGCTTCAATTTAATTTACATTTTGAGTTTTACATGGACAAACACTGCAACCTTCACAATCGGTGTTTAAATTCTTCATGCAGAAGCAGAACCACACTCCTCGATAAAGAAGATCAGCAACCTTCTGTAAACACAAGCCAGCAGCAGCAGCAGCAGCAGCAGCCCATTACTCTCTCTCTCTCCCTTTTCACTGATTTTTATCCTTTAAATTTTTAATCTCCAATTGTAGCCAGATCCACAGTCATTTCAAATAAAAGTATATCCACTGCAGATACAAATCCCTGCCTAACCTGCAGTACCAATTTCTCTAAATGTTCCTGTGTACTCATTCATGCAGGATCAGTTGCAAACCAACCAAGTCATTCAGCAAACAACCCAAAAGACAAGGAAAGAAGCAGTTGGGACTGTGAAGAGAAAAAATCTCTTCTTTCAGCTCACCCTGGAAATGGAAGGTTTTCTGATCAACAGTTATTGTGAAGGTGCTGTCGTCCTCATCGTCTATACCAATCACAGCTCCCTGTGAAACAAAGAGCAAAATCCCAATAAGGCAAACAATGACATCAGCAATATTCACTACTGCTACAGTCCTGGAATACTCAATACACAGAGGACACTGGAAGCAGGCTAGACAAAACGGAGAAATATGAAAGTCTAGTTTTGCTTCAGGAGGAAGAACTAAACGAGAGGGACTAGCAGTACATTCCAGGACACTGCATGGTGACTTTCTATGCTCTGCATAAGGGTCACGGATGTGGTGGGAGGGGGAGGGGACAAATACAGAAGCTGAATCTGGAATCTGTTTAAGAGCCAGCCACTGAGCTTTCTGGGCTTTAAATTTCTCTCTAAAATAGGAGTCAAAAATCTACACTTGCCCAGATTGTTGTGAGGTTCAAAGAAGTCAGGTGCTCTTCATCAGGCAGCTTCTGTGTTATGCTTGTTAGTGCAGAAACACTAGATGACATTTGCTTCAAAACATAGTCCAATCCTTTTTGCCATATGCTCCCAAAACTGTTGCAGTTTTCATGCTGTATTACCATTATTTGTTTATATGGCTGCCTCTTCTCACTGAACTGTTATGAGGTCTTGGAAATCCTAGACAATTTTATTTATTTTGACACATGGCACTCAAGTATAAACAGTATGTGTTTTCTAAAGAAAAATATGAACAATTGTCAAAATGAAGGAAGAGGACAAGGACCTACATTTATAAGTTGTTTGGGGAAGGTGAAGAGACTGATTTTAAAACCTTTCACTTTTTTTTTCCTTTATATCCAACTGTATGTATCCTGTTCAAACAACAGGAATTAAAAGAAAACTGCAAAATACGTAGTTTTGGTTAATGTCCTTAAGAAATAACTATCTTAGAATCCCAGAGAAAAAACTAGAGAACCTGGGATAGGTCAAATGCCACAGGATGGTGAGAGAAGCAGTAAGCTATGGACCCAGCAGACATTACTCTCAGTGAGCCCATTTTCAAAAACCTTGAAAATGTGGATTGATAAGACTCAAGGGGAAAACTTGAAAAGACTATGTAGAGGGACTACTTCTACCCAAGAAATATTAGGTAACAGAGTCAAATATTTATTCATTTCTTCTCAGAGATCACTGTCTGGATAAACCTCACCTCTATCCAAACCCCATCCATTAGAATTATCTTTTATTTTTCAGTTTCAGATTGGGGAAGAGGTTTTATCCCAATTTTTAAATAAGGAGAGTGTCTCCAGAGAGTATAATGACTTACCCAAGGTCACACAAAGAGTTAAGAGGCAGAACCAGGGCTGAATCACCATTGGCATAGTACCAACTTATTCCATGATGGCAAATACATATACACTTTATGGGGAAGCATGTATGGGAGCAGTTCACTTTGGTTAACTTAATTTTGTGACTGAGTTAACCTAAATTATGATGTAGCAACCATTTGCTGAATCTAAATATATAATATTATAGTAGTATTTAATAACTAAATACAAAAATTGTGTGCTAAATATAGCTCTGGAATAGTTCCTTAAGGCACTTATATTCCAGTAGTGGAGACAAAACATGCAAAGAAATGAGTATAATACAAAGCAAAACATTCATCTATATGGATGAACCTTGAAAATGGTATGCTAAGTCACTGCAGACTATGTCTTTCATGATTCCATATATATAAAATACTCACAAGAGGCAAACTCATAGAGACTGAAAGTAGTTTAATGGTTCCCTAGGGATAGAGGAAGGAGCTGGGGTGAAATGGGGAGAGAATACTAATGGGTATTGGGTTTCTAGTTTGGTGGTGGTAGTGGTTGTTTCTTGAGACAGGGTCTTCCTGGGCTCAAGTAATCCTCCTTCTCAAGTAGCTGGCATTATAGGTACAAACCATCACACCCAGCTGGTACTGGATTTCTCATGAACCAATGAAAGCATTCTAAAGTTAACTAGTGTTGAAGGTTGGACAGCCCTCTGAATATACCAAAAACACTAACTGCGTATTTAAATGAACTATATAGTATGTAAATTGCATCTCAACAAAGCTGTTGTAACACACCCACTTCGAAATACCTATTCTTTCTTTTGGGTTCATTAATGTACTTTCACCACACTTACCAACTCAGATAGAAACTCCCAGAGCCTACCCAAATTCTCCATCATTCTATCATTCTATCACTCCAATATATGCTAATTCCACCTCTGAACTGTTATCTACCCTCGCCCCCAGGACAGAACCCAGGATCTTGTACATGCTAGGCAAATACTCTATTATTATCTGAAATTCAACAACTCTTCTCCAGCCTCACAGCTACTGCTCTAATTCAGGTTTTCACCATTTATGTGTGTGTGTGCACGCGCGCATGTGTGTGTGCGTGTGGTGTGTGAGTGTGATGCTGGGGTTTAAACTTGGGGCCTCAGGTTAGGCTGCTACTACCACTTGAGTCATACTACCAGCCCTTTTCTACTTTAGCTAATTTTCAGGTAGGGTCTCGTGGTTTTTTGGTAGGGCACAGCCTCAGACCTCAGTCTTCCTACCTATAGCCTCCCATATAGCTGGTATTATAGACTGTGCACCACCACAAATGGCTTATTGGTTAAGATGGGGTCTCCGTAACTTTTTGCCTGGGTGGCTGCTAACTATGATCCTCTTGATCTCTGCCTCCCAGATAGCTAGGATTATAGGTGTGAGCCACCACACTTAGCATCTTTCACCTATTTCTTGATTAATAATTCAATACATCTACCTTCAGTCTGGCCACCTTCTGATACACAGTCTTTGCTATTGCTAGAGAAGTATTTCTCAAGCACAAACTTTAGACAGCATATCTGTTTAAAACCTTCCTTGGCTCCCCATGAACTAATGAAGTCAACATTATTTCTTAATGCTATTCAAGACTGTTAGAATTCTGGTTCAACTAACCTTTCTATTGTTATCACTTCAGCACCTCCTTCCTCCCCACCCCAACAAAAGATCCTAATGTGCTCAGTCTCAACATTTCTTAACACACTGAAAAAAAAATTCACTTTTTCATGTCATTCCTCTAGCTCAGTTCCCCACCATTTGTGAAACACAAGAAAAACCCCTTATCTCTCTCTAACTCTCACCTTCCCTCTCGTTGCTTTCAGAGAAGAGCTTTTTAAAAACTGGCCAGACCTTAACCTTACATCCATTCCTGCAGTTTGGCCTCCTTCCTCTCGCTACACCAAACTTCTCTCTGACAGGCCTCCAATGACCACTTCCCTATTCTTTAATTTGTCATACAGCACTTTTGCTGACCATTTCTTTCTTGAGAGCTTCTCTTTCAATGGCTCTTCAGTGCCTAAGCTATACTTCAGAAATATTTTCCCCAAAGTACCTTTGATAACTGTATGGGAGAAATCATTCTTGTCTGGTCTATTATATATTTCCCCTCTCTCTCCAAAGGCTTCTTTAAAGACGGTGGAACCAATCACATCTTGCCATTATCCTAAGTGTACGTTAATGTATGTATGCACAATTCATATGACAGTCTGCCTTCTCAGTTCTTGATTTGTTAAAAAAAAAATACTTCATTGCCATTCTCATTGAGTCAACTATTTCCTGTGATAACACCCTACACCCAATATAACAGTCATTAGCCACATGTGGATACTTCAATTTTAATTTTAATTAAAATTAAGTAAAATTTAAAAATAATTGGGACTGGGAGTATAGCACATGTTTAACATGCATAAGGCCCTGGGTTCAATCCCCAGCACCAAAAAAAAGAAGTTTCTTAGTCCTAGTAGCTGCAGAACTGGACAGCACTAATACAGAACATTTTAAAAACTGCAGAAATTGCAAAGCATTTTGCAGCCGTGTAAGGTATTAAGACAATGTTTTCCAATGTAGCATTATCATCACAGAGAACAAAACCACAGTGAATAGTTAACACTACCAATTATTGAGCATTTTCAATAAGTACGGTATGATGCTAATAAGCATTTTACACATACACTTGGAAGATGTTATTCTGAAGTGTAACGTATACACAAATAATAAGTGTAGAAGCTCAATGAACAGCAGCTTCCCTTGTAACCCTTCCAAATCATTTACCCTCCCCCACCATCCCAGAGGTAAACACTATTCTTAATTTCAACATTACAAATTAGTTGTCTTTGAACTTTATACAAATTGACTCATTTGTGTATTTTTTAATCTGTCTTCTTTCACACAAAATGTTTGTGAGATTCATTCATTCCACTGTAGATGGACATTTATATTGTTTCCAACTTTAAATTATTAAAATAAAGCTGCCATAAATATGGCTGTTCAAATCTTTTGTTATATATATGCTTGTACACCTATTAAATACAACTCTACAATTCATACTTCTATTCCTTAAAGGATATGTAACCGTATCAATGGCTCTTCCTCATCTTCACTTAAGGTGACCAAAATAACCTGGATTGCCTAGAACAATACTGGATTACTCCTGCTGACCTCAAGCAATAATGAAGAAGAAATCCCCCTCTCAAGAATGTCACAGTTTGGCAGCACTTCCAACAGGGGCATGTTGGGGCAGAGCATCAGCACTTCCAACAGGGGCATGTTGGGGCAGAGCATCAGACGTTCACAACCTCTATGTTCTGTTGGAGCCACTACGAGGAAGGCCTGGGAAAGAATATTCCATTTTCAGTGGAAAACAAATGGGGATTACTGGCTATGATAACCTTGTATTTTGGATCTGGATTTGCTGCACCATTCTTTATAGTAAGACACCAACTGCTTAAGAAATAAGGGTATTTTAATTCATCCATGTAACAGATATGAAGAATGTTTCAAGAAGGGCAGCCGCTTTGGAAAATGGATCAAACTCTTAAACTTACAGCATACTACATATGTTTGTAAATAAACTCATGACATGAAAAAAAAAAAGTCACAGTTTAAGAGATATGGTCACTAAACCACAGGCTAGCCCACAAGGCCCTTTAGCAATTAGCTCCATACCTACCTCTCTCCAGTCTCTTGTAAAATGCTAGAGGGTTCACCAGTTGCCCCAAGTTCTTTCCCACCACTGCATTTTTGCATATGTTTTGTTTTCTGCTTACCATATCTTTCCTCTTCTCTTTACCTGGGTTCAAACTGGATTTTTTGGACTCTGGGGTTTGAACTCAGGGACCTGAACTTGCTAGGCAGGCACTCAAACACTTGAGCCAGGCCCTCAAGCCCTTTTTGCTTTAGTTATTTTTGGAATAGGGTCTCATGTTTTTGCCCAGGCCAGCCTAGACCACTATCCTCCTACTTACGCCTCCCGCAGTAACTAAGGTGACACACAAGTGCTATCATGTCTAGCTTACTGGTTGAGATGGGGGGTCTCACCTCAAACTATGATCCTCCTGATCTTTTCCTCACAAGTAGCTGGGATTGCTAGTGGTTTGAACCACTAGGCCCAGTTAATTGTTTTTTCATTGGTAAAGCAAAAATCCTCTTGATAATCCATATGTAGAATGGTGTTCTATCCTTAATAAAAACTAATTGTTATGATAATCACCAAACATTTTACAGTCAGTACTTGGGCTCACCAAGACACCTATTGCTGCAGACTCCAGATAGAAAGTAACTAGAGCTACACAGTCTTGACTAACTAGATGGATTTCTTGACCTCCCCCTCTTTTTTCTATACATATATACTTTAGACATAAATCATGGTTCTGGTGCCAAAAATGAAAAAGTTTTGCTTTCAGTTTGGAAAAACAAAATTCTGGCTATTTTGGGGTTAACTCCCTTTGCAAGAAGAGAAAAGTGAGCTGGTGAATTTGTTCCAAAATAATAAAAAAGAAATGATGACTTCTCCAGAAGCTAGATTGCTCAAGTAGCTCCTAAGAGGAACATAGATAGTGCTAAGAATACACAGCATAGTTGCTCCCACTATGCCACCACAACCAGTACTTTCCCTCACTGCTGAAATGACATTGGAAAGCTACCCTACCTTCACAGAGTGTATTTACATACACTGTCTAAGATTTAGAGACAAGTTATAATTCTCCTTTAGAAATTAGGAAACTGAAGTTCAGAGAGATCAAAATATTTGTTCAAAGTCCAAAAACCAAAAAAGCAGAAGGTGCCAGTTCTAGCAACTCCTGATCCAAAACACAATTTAAAAAAAAAAATGGCATTGTTATAATAAGCAATAGTTACATATTTTTTAAATACCTATTCTGGGCCATAAACAATAACAGCTGGGAGATATAAAGAGGAATATGTGTCTGTCCTGAAGGAATACGCTAGAGGCAAAAAAAAAAAGAAGCGGGGGGCAGTCAACAATATAAAAGAAAGCAGGAAGGCTTGAAGTCCAGCCTACTTACAAAAAAAGGTACTTTCAGCCAGGCACTGGTGGGTCACACCTGTAATCCCTAGCTACTCAGGAGGCAGAGATCAGGAGGATCGTGGTTCGAAGCCAGCCAGGGAAAATAGTTCACAAGACGCAATCTCGAAAAAAAACCTTCACAAAAAAGGGCTGGTGGTGTGGCTCAAGATGTAGCCCCAGAGTTCAAAACACAGTACCACAAAACAAATAAATAAATAAAGGTGCTTCATGGAAAGCCATGAATGATATAGTGAATCATTTTTCAACGAGTACTTTTTGAACCGTCTAGACATTGTCCCAGATGCCAGCAATAGATGCTCAACAACTTGCTTTGTTTGTTTCGGGTTATTGTTGTTATTTGCAGTACTGGGGTTTAAACCCAAGGCTTTGCACATTAGGCAAGTGCTCTGCTATTTGAGCCACACCTTCAGCCCTTTTTGATTTTTAGGTTACTTTTTAGATAGGGTCTTGCTTTTTTGCCCAAGCTGGCCTTGAACTGTGATTCTCCCAATCTCTACTCCCAAGTAGCTAGGACAGCAAAAATGAGCCACTGTGCATGGCCCTGCTTTGGTTTTTTTTTCACTCAACATTTGTTTGATCTTTACTTGGGTTGAGGAAAAAAAAAATTTGTGTGTGTACTTTCTCTGTTAAGAAAAAATATACATACACACACTAGCCATATTGGGAATGTATATTTTTACCTTATTTACCTTTCATTTCCTTTCTGAGTATTCTTTTTTCTTTTTTTTTTTAACTGATTTTATACAATCTGTTTTTTTTCAAGTGCTGGACATCAAAGAAGGGTCTTGCATGCACACTAAGTAAACTCTCTACCCTATCCCTTTTATGCCTTGTTTTGAGTTTTCTTTTTTTTTGTTGTTGATTTATATGTGTTCTTTGTATTTTTCTGGGTATTGTGAGAAAATAGTCTTCTATCAAAGTGTAGGTCGCCATTTTAATTGCCTGTATTTCCAGCTTCTTTGTCCAGATTCCTCTGAGCACCCTCTGCCCGTGAGAATTGCCCACTACACGGTGAATCTTAACACCTCCCCTAAATAAGTATACAATTTCAGCTAGTTGAGAAGATTGTGAACTTTTGATCTGGACCAATCCAGGTCAAGAGGCAGATTATTTGCATCAGGCATAAAAGGGGGAATAAACTGCGTGCCCCGCCTTTGTGCTGGTTTTGCCCACGTGCATGCTGGCACCCTTTTGGCCAGAAGTAAAGTTTTGCATTACTGAGATGATTCTTTGTTCCCATGTCTTCAATTGGAATATTCATTTCTAACAATACTATTCCTTTGTCAGTTGCAAACATTTTCTTTCCTATCTATAGGTTGGCCACTCTACTTTTTTGTTCAAAGGTTTTAAATTTTGAATGCTGCCAAAGTTCCTAAGGGTTGTCACCAGGGTTTCTTCTCTAAGACCTTCTCTAATTTCTGAGGACACGCCCCTAGGCTGGAGCTACCTGGTCCTTCCTCCATGTTGATTGGTTGGCCTGCGAGAAGCAGCTCTTTTTCTCCCTGGCTGCCTGAAGATCAGCCACCAACATGAAGGATATGAAACCATCCTGACCAGGGAGTTCATGATCAACCAACTACTTCATCCATGTCCTTCACCCTGGAAGGCAACAGTACCTAAAACAGAAATTCATGAAAAACTACTTAAAATGTGTAAGACCACACCAGATGTCAATTTGTATTTGGATTCAGAATTCATTTTGGAAAGATAACTGGCTTTGCCATGATTTATGGTAACTTAGACTATTAGACTATGAAAAAAAAAAAAAAAAAAAAAACCTCAAACACAGACTTCCAATGGCCTGTATGAGAAGGAAAGGACCTCAAGTAAACAGCAAAAGGAACTCAAAAACAGAATGAAGCAAGTCAGGGACAGGAAAGGCCAGTGTTGATGCTGGCAAAAAGCCAAAGGAATAAAGATTCTACAGTGACTTTATCTGCGGCAATTGTGCAGATTTTTCACAAGGATTAATAAACTATAAAAACTTTTAAAAAAGGACATTCTCCTATAGTTTGTATTTATTTAATTGTTTGTACTTGGGACTGAACTCAGGGGCTCTCTACCACTCAAGCCACATCTTCAGTCATCTTTCACTTTAGTTGTTGTTTCTTTTAATTATTTTTCAGCTAGGATCTCATGTTTTTGCTATCCTTGGGCCATGTCCCTCCTACCTCTGCCTCCCAGTAGCTGGGATTACAGGCCCATACCACCATACTGGGTTCATTAGTTGAGATGGGGTCTTGCTGAGACTGCTGGTCTCAGACCACAATCTTCCAATTTCTTCCTCCCAAGGAGCTGGGATTATTCTCTTCTGTCATAAAAACATTCTTCTATACTTCTAAATTTAAGTTTTCATTTCATAACTATGATTTCTGTGTATAGCATAGACAGTAATTCCCTTTTTTTTCTTCATATGGAGAGCCAATTGACCCAGCTTCGCTTACTAAGTGGTAGCATGTAATTTATAATGCTGTCTCACATACCTAACTCCCATATATATGTACAGCTCTTTTCTCAACTTTCTCTTCTGTTTCACTGATTTCCTTCCCTTGCTGTGCATGATAACATATGTCTATCATCCCAGCTACTCAGGAAGTAGAAATAGGGGGATCATGGTTTGGCTGGTCCCAACATAAAGGAGAGACCCTATTTGAAAAATAACAAAAGCAGAAAGAGCTGGGGTCATGGCTCAAATGGTAGAGAACCCTTGCCTAGCAAGAACAAGGTCGAGTTCAAAAGCAAAAACAAAAACCATAGACTTCTCTAGATGTGGTTTTAACATGTGGGCTCTTCATTCTGGTTTATATAATTTCCATTACGATTTCTCCTTTCACCAATGAATCATTTAGAAGTCTGTGTGTTAGGAGGTAGTGACTAGTGTTTTGTTTAGGGATTTATAATGTATTCCACTGTTGCTGAAGAACCTTATTTACATGATACTGGGTCACTGGTATTCTCTTTCTCGGTAACAACTTTTTTTCTTAAAGTCTTTGATACCTGATATTAATGCTTTTCTCAGCTTTCCTGTGTTTAGCAGTTGCCTAGAAATAAATTTTTCCATCACTTTCTTTTTTATTTAACTTTTAATTTATAAAAAGGTATTAAAAAACCATTCAGCACTAATGACATATATATGCCAAATAAAACAGATGTCTACATCTTGGCCAAGGATACTTTCAATGTCAAATTCATAGAAAACAGATGGAGCTGGCTACCGAATTAACAAGAAAGGCCAAAATCAATAGGGTAATTTTTCATAATGAAATGACAAGACAACTGATAACTGTTCTTATGGGATTCAAACTTAAGTGGGGAGGAAGAGGACATCTTTAAGATTATATATAAATCTAAAAATAACGTCTTTCTGCTTTCATTCTAAGATGTCACTTATTGTTAGATATATAGTAATACCAGAAATACAGAAAAAAGTTATAGAATAAAATAAGGCATTAGCACAAATCAATGCTGAAACTATTAATAATCTGCTATAATATGCTGCTGACCTCTTTTGTGATGAATCAAAAGAGAACAGATCGTGTAACCCTTACAAACCAGTCAACTCATACCTAGCACAATCGGTAAATGGAATACAGGTTGAATATTCCCAGTGTCCAAAATCCAAAACTTTCTGAGTGTCAACATGGTGCCACAAGGGGAAAATTCCACACCTAACCTCATGTGCAGGCACACTAAAATTATTACACAAAACTACCTTCGGATGGGCTGGGGTCATGGCTCAAGTGGTAGAGCACCTGCTTGACAAGCACAGCCCCTGAGTTCAAATCCCAGTACTACCAAAAAATAAATAAAAATTATCTTCAGACTATGTGTATAAGATGACTATTAAACACAAGTGAATTTTACATTTAGATTTGGGCCCCATGCTCAAGATATATCATTATGCATGTGAAAGTATTTTTAAAAAATCAAAAGAAAGTACAAAACCTGAAATACTTTCTACACCCAAGCATTTCAGAGAAGGTATACTCATCCTATACTCAAGTGCACTGTACTGGGTGAAAAAGAGTTACTTCTTAAGAGTGACTTTTTAAGTCATATGTGGATTAATAATTTTCAAAGACTCATAATACACTGAACATTAAAACTGTTGTTGAATATAATTCACCTTACTTTGGTAGTTCCTAAACCCTTTCAGAATTCATCAGAATTTGAGATTCATCTGTATTAATAGTAATTATTAATTATAACAGTAACTGCCATTCATTAAGGTCTTACCAAGTTCTAAATACTGTGTTTGGGTACCTTTAAATATATTAATTAATTTGATACTCACAATTCTAAGAGTAAATGACATAATGCCCATTCCAAAAACTGAAAAAAAAAAAAAAAATAAGTTCAGAGCAGAATGGATGAGTTGGCCCAATTCACAGAGCTACTTAAGTGGCAGAATTCAGATCATAATTTCATTTCACAGATGTTATGTTCTTCCCTTTACCTCACACTGCCTTTTTAATGCTTCTACTTCTCCATTTTGCAGATATTACCTGCAAATGTCAATACTTTGCTTTTGATTAGAATAAGGAAGGGGAGTGGAAAGCAATCAGTTCCCAAACATCAGCCAGTATTTTATTTTTTCATCAAAGCAAGAGCACCACCTGGTGGCACACACTTTACTCAACACAGTCAAAGCTTTTCACTTTCCTGCTTTCTTCTACTGATTGACACTACCTTGCAACAACTTAGGGTTTCAGCATTAATTGTTCTATTCATTTAAAAAAAATGGTAGCTTTGTATATTAAGAACTAAAAAGAGTTTTGGAATGAGACAAACCCAAGTTCAGTCTCAGATTCACCATCACTGTGTGATCTGGGTAAGCTACTAAAAATAATTGAGTCTCATCGGTCTTGCCATCTATAAAATGACTATTTACCTGACAGGCTATCATGGGAATACAGGTGAAAGCCAGTGCCTAGTCTGAGCTTCCTCTATGATTCTTTTCTTTTCCTATTCCCATTTCTTTTCCAATTCTAAAACCATATAGATGTTTTGCTCATATATTGCAGGTCTTTTGTATGTAAACCATAGTAAAGGCAAATTCTCCAACATTTATTATTTATTATAAATATATAAAATTAACAATAAGCTTTTTGTGGCTACCCATTTACTATATACCAGGCAAATGTTACAGTAGATGGGAATTTGCTATCAAATGGGAACAGACAAGTTAACATGTAATACCATACAACAAGTACTTTCATGGCTGTAAGAGACAAATAGAAAAAGGTGGAGGAAGGGGGGGGCACCAAATGTTTTGGAAAGATGTGGATGAGGAAGGCTGCACAGAAGAAGTAACATTTAAAAAGTCTCTTTGAAAAATGAGTTCACTAAAGGGCACAGAAAATTCATGACCTAACAAAAATATGTCAATGAGGAATGAATAAACATAGTGAATGAACAGAAAACTATAATGTGATTGGACCACAGAATGGGATGGATGGAGAAGGGGCAGTAATCAGTGGTATAGTCAGTGATAGCTCCCTAAGCTCATTTGAAACCTAGATGACAGATGCATTACCTATCACCACCACTGTCAAAATGGTTGTCATTGTCATCAATATCATCATTGTCATCTGTAGCATTTATCATTTACTCTATGTATCAAACCCTATACACATATAATTGCAGGGCTGGGATGTAGTTCACAGGTAGAACACTTGCCTAGAATAGGTGAGACCCTGGGTTTGATCCTCAGCACCAAAAAAAAGGGGGGAAGTACCATCGTTGGCTAGGCATGTAGCTCAGTGGTAGAGTACTTGCTTAGCCAGTGTGCAGTGCAAGGGCTTGGGTTCAATCCCCAGCACTGCAACAAAAAAGAAAACATAATTGCTAAGCCTCACAATTCCTGCAAAGTGTATAATGTTATTTTCATAGAGGTGAAGAAATCTGCCCCAATGTTAATCAGTAATGGGTGGAGTTCAGTGAGATTCTGCCACAGATCACTTGGATTCTTTCTACACCAGTGGTCCCAAACTTGGCTGCATAACACAATCACCCAGAAAAAATAAAAATACTTAAAAATAAAGGTTCTAGAATGTTACTTTAAAGCAGCATGAAGGTGAGACTTGGGAATTTGTATTTTAAACAAACCCTCCAGATGTTTCTTAAATAGGAAGCCAAATGGCAGTCTAGTTTTGTTGCTGCTGTTGTTTTGCAGTGCTGGGAATTAAACCCAGGGTCTCATGCATGTTAGGAAAATGCTACCACTGAGTTAACACCTTCAGCCCTTTTTAACTATCTTTTGAAACAGTGTTTAAATTGCCCAGATTGGCTACACTTGCAATCCTCCTCAGTCTCCTGAGTAACTGGGATTAAAGGCATGAGTCACCATATCTGGCTTTACAAAGCTTCTTTAAAAGGTTCAGATACGCACACACATACATACATACACACACACACACACACACACCCCTAATTCTCACAAAATTCAATAAAAAGGCTACTATAACCCCCACTTAAAAGAAAACTCAAGCTCAGAAAGCTTATAAATAGCCTCCATTTTTCAGTCAACCAAGCAAAGGGTAAAAATGGAATTTAAACACTGGTATGTTAGTTCTCTGTCATGCTATGCAGCAGGCAGAATTCTAAGAATGAGTCATAATGATCCTTGTCCTTATATAATCTCTCCTTTGAGTGTGGGTGGAAACTGTAAATATAAGATATCACTGGAGTGATTGTGTCAAATTTA